GATTTCCCAGGCTGTGTGCATGTGGTGGTTATTACCGGGGTTTCCAATTCTGTTCTTATAACTGTGTTTAATTGTGTTTCTATTATTATTGTGTCTTTTTCTGTACGTGTTTGAAGAAACCCAAACACATGCTCACACACCTGCGGCCTCCCTGGTGGACCTGATATCCAGAGATATGGATCTCGTCCTCGTTTGGGAAGAACAGACTGAGAGCTCTTGGGCATGAATACACACTCCCATCACACACTCTACTGTTGTGGACCTGAGAAGACAAGAAAGATGATGGTAGAGAATCAAAGGAAGGGTCAAAAGGTTGATTAGCCACATCATTAACCTTCAGCTATTAATCACTAGTGATCTAATAAACACAGGCAGTTGTCTGGTAATGACGCCGCCTGTAAAGGCCACAAATGATTGTTGTGGTACACCCACGTAATTGCTGCAACAAATTGATTTATTGAGGCTATGATTAACAAAAAGTTAATGACAGTGGATCCGAGAGATAGAGTTAACAAAAATTGTGTATTTGTTGGGGACAATTTACCTTCTATGGATTTGCTGCAGTACTGAGTATTTACTGCAGCAAAATGGTGACAGTGGATCTGCTCAGAATGATCTACAGTGTCCATGTTCATAGTGGTGATGAAACATGTCACCCAGTGCAACAATGCAGCTCACAGATGTATTTTCAATATTGTGCTCGATATCCTCTATATCATGCTGTCGCTAGACCTTTTTGTTTACATGGGGCAAAATCAGGTGTTAAGTATGAGCTTTAAAGGCTACGAGAGAGAACTTATAGATCACAAAAAGGCCCAAGTCTTCTGGTTGAGCATACTGTGCACAAAGAAATTAAACAAATAGGACTGTTAGACTCTATAGGTGGATGATAGTATCTGCTAATTGGCATAGAACCTACGACAACATAATACTAAGTAACACTGCAGATAACCGCTTTGCATATTGTTGAAGCCTCAGTGTTACACAAGAAAATGAATTTTGAGTTACAATACTGTGAATACATAAAGGTTCAATGTTTCAGGGTTATTTTGATGTGCATGTTCTTACCCACACCGTGTACTGTGGTGTAGCTGAGTGGCAGTCCTGGGCCAGAATGTAGGAGCAGGTTCCAGGGAAGTAGAAGTATATTCCATCAAATGTCTCATAGTGGTGCTGACCCCATGACCTGCAGATCCCGTCTCTATCCTGGCCCTGGTTAGGTACTGAGAGGGAAATGGACAACTCACTCGGACAAGAGTCATTAAGTGGTGACATGAATGAATTTCATCTAAATTGAAACCTTTACTGAACTAACGGCAAAGCTCTTTTATCATCGTTTTATCTTTTACAGGAAATCCCAGTAGCTGTCTGTGCCAAGATGCTGCCCAAGCTTTTCCCCAAACTCTGAGGGGGTGGAGGATGTTTGATTTTGTAAAGGGTACTCTACATATGTTGATTACAAGAAACCCCATTTTTAAATCAACAGTGTTTCCCAGTGTTATTCAATATTTTAAAACATACATTCTCCGGAGTCAGCTCTGTTGCATGGATCTTAATATTTTGCATTACAGCTGGCACACTTGATCATTTATCTTGGATGAATCTTTATATATTTTTGTAAGAAACCTTGATGTCACAGCCAATTATACGCCATCTTTGTTTACTTGATTTTAATAAAAATACATGTTCTATATCTTCTAGTCAATCAAAGGATTTAAATTTCAAGCCCAAGTTTGGTTACAGGTCCCTCAGCACTAAATTAGTTTGTTGAAATGAAAATGTCTTGATAACATCTGTGACCTCAGATCTCTTGATAAACTGTGTAAGGAGTCTGTTCAGAATATAGAAACCAGAAACTCCATCACTCAGCTCTTACTCTATTACCTTAGTTCAGTTCAAGTGATTTTTATAGCTGCTCCTTTAGGGGGTAAAGTGTGTGTATAGGGAGTTTGTGCAGGTAATTAATATTTGCTGAATGATTGGAGAATATGATGCACACATGAACAGTCACTCACACATACATGTCTGTTACATTCCAGAAATGGTGCCTGTTAGTCAACCATGGGTGGATGAGGTGTGTGTGTGTGTGTGGGTGTGTGTGTTACTCACTGATCTGGCAGCGGTCTCCCAGTGCCTGGAACTGAGCGCAGTCACACACACCGCCCTCCTGACACCAGCCACCATTGAGGCAGCCACAATATTCTGGGAGAAATGAACAGATTCACTTTCCTCAGTCAGACATTTTTTAACGTTTATGACTGCATCACGTGATACATAGTGTATTTACCTGAAGAGGCATCTCTGGCTGTGTAGTTGTGTAAAATGCTGCGTGACAGTGTACCCTCCGACAGCAGCGGCACGTATGTCTTGGAGAACAATAAACAATGAAAGCTAAGAGCACTTTCTTAAAAACAGTACGTCTCAAGCTTTAACAGCATCAGTGACACTTCTGTACGCTTGGTGAACCCCCTGCTGAAAGTTAAAAGTTGCGTCAGACCGAGTGGGGTGAAGGTGTGTGTGATAGTGAGTGTGTCCTTTTCTGTACAAAGACAGCTTTGTGACGCTTTTTTTGGTGTTGTGCGCATGTGGGTGCCCTGACCTCCTCTGGTTCTCTTAGGTGTAGTGTACCAACCTCCTCCCCGAGGAGATCCCGTTTCCTCCGAAGTGCATTAGCCCTTCTGCACACACACAAACATGCACATTAGTGGGAAGAAACAGTCAGAGGGGAGACTTAAAGTGCACTTTACACCACTTGAATCCAGACGCCACAGTACTCTTGACTGCACCCTCACACACGCACACACACACATGCTGTCTCTGTCACACACTCTAGTGACAAAAAAAAGAACGTGCACATGCAAATGTCAACCTGTAAAGTCGCATAACAATGACTTGATGAGGAAAACGAACATAATATATAAATTACAGAATATATTAATATAATTTTATTTAATATTTACCTCTGTAGTCTTTCCTCTCTCACAGAAAGTCGGCTCTGAGCTCCTAAATGCAAAGACAGTGCTCGTTAACTTGAGGAAATAATTATCAGTCATCTATCATACACATTTTCAAGTTTATTTGGTAGTTAGCACAGGGTCAACGGTGCAATGAAAAGAGCTGGACGAGAAGGACAGCTCAGCTCAGCGATGAAACAAGGGCAATGTCATAGAGAATATAAAAGTAAATTTAAATAAAAGAGCTCAATAAAAATTTTATATATTTTATATATATTTTATTTTTTTTATTAGAGGACACAAATGTAAGGATTAGAGCTCAGGGTAGATCCAGAGGTGCCCGAGCATAAATATTAAAGTTATTAATGTCTGTAATCACATATTAAGACATAAAATTGAGGCACATTATGGGAGATCAGTTTTATACAATATGTTTTATGCTATTTATAAAAGAAAGTGATATGGAACACAGACAGACAGATAGTTTGATTTTATACAATAACGTAGAGGTTCATGGGTAATTAGAATTTTGAACATACAGAGTCCATCCTGTTAATATCCCCACGTGTTTTTCAACATAGTTCAAATCCATATCTCAGCAGCAGCTTCATAAAAAGTAGCTCCGTCGTTCTGAATCTGTGAGACTCACCCTCAAGTGACAGCAAGTGGGAGACTGAAAACGACACCAGAAGAAATCGTTTCACTGTCCACTTCAAGTTCATCTCAGAGTCCGAAAGGAAGTCCCGCCGACACGTTAACGGTGCATCTCACTGGTCCCGGGAGGAGACGGTTCGGGTGGGTTCGGCAGCACCGGACGATGGATGCCTGCTGGTCTCTGTGAAAACTCACCTGGTGGAGGGGACAGCCCACGTGAGCCGGTGACGAGGAGCCCACACCTGAGTGGGCAGGTGAGATGGTTCTGATGGGGGGGGCTCTCAGCTGATCACCTCCCAGGTCACATCGTGTTCACCGGTACCGGTAAGTTTCCGGTTGACCGTGTTTCCTGGGTGGGAGAATTTTGACGTATGAGCTACGAGCTGTGGTAAACGGTGATGGCTCTGAGCCAATCAGAGGGCAGAGATTCTTAACCCAGTCTCAGCTGTTTAAATTGTTGAAGAATTCTAGTTTACAGACTCAAGCCGAGGACTAAACATATAATATGTGTTTTTACAAACAAACGATCACATTAAAACACAAAAACGTTTCACATTTTATCAATCACCACTGTGCCGATGGAGTGTTGGGGAAATATTTGAGTGGACAAGCACTTTTGGAGATTCAGGGGTAAACAGTGTTGCAGCCAAATCCAATGCAATTGAAGAAACTGGGGACCAATTCAAACGTAACAAACAAACAACAGAAGATGCCTCCCGGTGCTCCTGTGGTGTCATCCAAGTGTCCAGAAGCTCCGACTTTCAAATTCGACTCGACACCATGTTTTTAGCCTGAATATCCTCTGATATTGTCCCCCGGAGTCGTGTTTGTGTGGATCAAGAATTAAACGATAGACTATCTGTCCCATTGTTTATCCAGCTGTAAAGATCCTGACAAAACTGCACTCCAAATGGACAAGACAATCAGTGTGTTTGATAGTTTGAGACTCATCCAAACCAAAAGCACATGGATCAACATCAAAACTGAACCTTGTCATCGCTGTTAAAAGTTTGATAACTCAAAGGAAAGTTTCGCAGGAACTAATCTCAACGGTTTCAATGGTTCCTAGCACCAACTATAAATATTTCTAACCTTTAAAAACAGTTAGCTCATCACTTACTGTGATTAAACAATATAATTGTACACAGAAAAATACACAAAATTGAATAGTGTAAAAGTAGCTAGCTGGTTTAGCATTGTTTCACATTTTTGTATTCAGCAATGAAGCTAGCTTAATGTAACTTTCAGTATAAATACAGTTTTACAGTCATAAAGTAATATTACCTCTCAGATAGCTCATCAACTTGTTACCCAAGACTGGCAGTGGCCCAATAAACTAGTTTACCACTAGGGGGGGCCTGAGACAGGACGTGTTTCCAGGGGGACATAAAATAGTGACGAACCCCGCTGAGGTTTGCTCCAGGTCAGGTGTCTCCTGGGAGGAAACCATGACACACGCATCGTGTCATCTGTGTTTTCATTTGAATGTGAGTAAAGAGTATCTTCAAACTCCTACACGTGTATTTAGGCAGCTGGACAAACTGGAGGTGTTTAACCTCGGTGGGTCTTTACCACCGACTGCGTTTCAACAGGCTGAGAGTTGTTGCATTAAGGTGGTTAAATAAGAGATATTATCATTTCTAATGCAAGTTGTTTATTTTTCCCATTGGATCAGTAGAATTTGTGCCTATAAACGCTGAGGAAGTCACTGATCATGATGTTGGAGTACAGCCTAGGTGAGAGGAATGCTAACATGCTAATATAAGCAGTTTGGCATCATAGTTTATTGACAGGTTTCTCAGCAGAATCACAAGAATACAACAGATTTAAGGTCATTTTTCAGATATATGTGAGTTAGGTGATTTCATTTCAAAGTCACACTTTATAACAGTTTCTTTCACTTCACCATCAAAGAAATAATGAAAAGTAAAGCCTGCAGTGTGAAGTTTATAAAAATGACTTGTATTTAGTCAGTCCAAAGTTAACTGTGTGTCATATTAGTCCACCCCTGCACACAGGATGCATTATGAGTATTTGCACTGCATGTGGTTGTGCTTGCCTCTTTTCTTAATGTGCTTGTGTTCCGATTGTTCGCATGAGTTTTCTAAAGTTGCAGTGTGTTTAGTTTTCAAGGCCAGAACACATCTAACTAGATCTCTTGAGTTTTGCAAACTGCTGGTGTGTGTAGGGACTCAACCTTGTCTGTCTGTCACATATGTGAACTTATACAAAATGTATTTTGGACAAATATCAGAGGACTCACCATGTCCAGTCTCATTGTACCATGTATATGTGATATTTAAGAAAATGTGGAAAATGGCTTTGGGTGATACTTTTTACTTAAAGGTTTGGTAAGGGTACATTATAATAGTAACATTTTTGAGTTAAAGTGCATGTTATTGTGTTATTTATGTGCGTGTGTGTGAGTGAGAGAGAGACATGCCTCAAACTCTCCATAGACATGATGTGCTGTGCTGCTCCTCATTTATATTTAACAATTAAATAGTCCTCTTCCACAGCAGACATCTTGACTTGTCACAGTAGGAAGGTCCCAGTTGTTTCTGGTAACATTAACAACATCTCTGTTCTGTCATTGGTTCTTTTCTAAAGCCCCAGTAAATAAATTGAATAATTTACACCTGTGCTCTTCCTAAAATATCTTATAATCGAATGTTGGCTAGGATCATGAGCATGTAGTATCAGCAAACATCACACATCATCTAAACAACAGCTGTTTGACAAACATGTGGTGCAAACGTCACAGATAATATGAGATAACAAGGTGGATGATGTTGTACATCTAAATGAATTGCACCAAGACCAGCAGCAGAGAAACAGTATGTGCCTGGTAAAAGAAAATTGACCTGACATAGCTTGATGATACAATAAAAGCTAAATCTGCACAGTATAATACAGTCCCACCCATTGTAACCCCATGATACTATGGTTGATAAGCTCATAATGCTTACGGAATTGTCTATCCTCTGTGCAGGGGTGGACAAATATGAGGGAGGACACACAATAAACTTTGGAATGACTCAATACAAGTCATTTATATAAACTATACTTTACATTTTTTCTTTGATGAAGAAGTGGAAGAAAGTGTTATAAAGTGTGTCTTTGAAATTAAGTATCCCCTATTTATCACGTAAATATCTGAAGACTAAAAATGAACTAGAATCACTTGTATTCTTGTTGTGATTCTGGCCTCTTTTGGCATTTTGGTCGTGATGCTGCAGAGAAACCTGTCAATAAATCATGATGCCAAATTGCTTATGTTGGCATTCTTCTCATTCTAGGCTGTACTCCAACATCATAATCAGTGCACATCCTCAGCTTTTATAAGCAGAAATTCTAATGGAAGATGGTCCGATGGGATATAAATGTAAATAAACAACTTGCATTTATAATATCTGTTATTTAACCACCATAATGCAACGGTGAATGTTATGAAAGTACTAACATAATAGCTCATAGCAGTCAAGGTAATCTGTAATTTGATTGTCCTTGGGATTGTCTCTCTCTGCAGGTCGGTGTTACGTGCATTGTGAATTAATTTTGAACAACTGGACAAACGTAAATAAACATTAAATAGGTTTTGAAAAAATCACATCTTATTTAATAGCATTTGTACCTGGTGATACATCTTTTATTACAAGTCTTTATGACATAAGCAGTAGGCAATAACTGCAGAATTTAAGTCCATAATAGTGATTCAGACAGTATCTAGGCTAAAACACAGAATTATTGGTACATTTACTCAGTTAGGTAGCTTTAATTTTTTTCATGGGATTTGTAAAAACATAAATTTGAAGTAGATGAGGTAAATGCTGCAAGATTTCATAGCTCAGTGGGTTCACAGTTTCATTTCTTGCTGGATATTAGTGAGTTAATTTCATCCTCTGGTTTGAGGCCGTGCCACTGAGCTATTGGCCGCCGGGGGTTAGCCAGCATGTCTGACCAATGGCATTGCTCAGTTCCAGTGCTGTTAGCGCCCAGCAGCAACTTCCCGATGGCGTCGTTCTTCCCGATCTTATCATAGTCGAGCACAGTCACTGCTATCTGCACCTTCTGTAGATGACAAAAACAAGAACAAAAAGTGAATTTCTTTCTATTTGTCTGCATTTGTGTGTGTATAAATCAGTTTACCTCTATCTGTTCACATGGCACCTCAAAGCTGAAAGACTCGTTGTAGTATGGGTTCAAAGTGTTCTTCTTTATCGTTGTTTTCTTTTTCTTGAGTCGTTTCCCATTCTGCATTAAGTGGATCTTCACATAAGGGTCTGAGAGTGAGAACAGAGAGGTTTGGTGTCAGAGCGACAGACCAAATGGCTGGCACTGATGCAGCAACTCCATCAGTGGAACACCACATCTATTGTAGCAGCTCCTGGTGGTTTCCCCTCAATAGAAAGTGCTTGAAAGTGGACACATCACTTAAAAAGGTGATTATAAAGCCTTAACGCTCAACCAGAGCTGACAAATCTGGGCTTAGCAGTGTGCACTAAGTGTTTTGTGTCTTGTTACTTAAAGAGTTCAACATGGTGCATTTTTATAAAATACTGAAAGATTTCCATGTCTTCCGTAAAAGTAACTTTCTTGACTCACCTGATAATCCTCCCACATCCATTTTCTTCAGGTTTTTGGCCTCTAGAATCACCACCGTCAACTTCCCTGCAGTGGGCACAAACCTCAAGGACAAACATACGTCTCCAAGCCGCTCGCTCTGTCACAGGGAAGAAGAAGGATAAAGAGTTGAGTATGCTGTCAGGGCTTCATTATTAGATGGAGAAGCTGAAATATCACAGGAGGCTGCAGTCTTCTGTTTTTTAAAATAGGTGCTTCAAAACCATGGTGACTACTCTGTGCAGTATTGTCTGCTGTGAAACAAAGTGTAAATGTCAAAAGGAGAATTTGATTTTAATTAAACCAAAGGAACATTGAGCATCAATAACCTTGTTCCCGACACAAAACATTGCATCATATAAAAGGAAACTAATTATTTTTTTAAAAAGGATGTCTTAACAAAAGCAAGATTTATTTTTGTCCACCCCCTCTAACAGTTTGCTCCCACCTCCTCCTTCTCTGCCTTCTGCAGGTCCCTCCACTCCTGCAGAGACTGGCTGAAGTCCACGCTGCTCATCGGTATTTTCACATCTCCTATAGCATCGTGCTTTGAGAAACGGTCAAAGTCGTACACCGTCATCACCAGTGTCTTCCCGCCCAGCTCAGTGTACGGTACCTATAGTACAGAACACACATCAAGTTGCTGATAGGGAATGTGCTCTGGAAAAATAATTTTCCTGATGTTCTAATTTACCTTAAATGTGAAAGTCTCATTGAAGTTTGGTTCAAGCGTCTTCCTGTGAACTTTAGTTTCAAACTTTTTCTTTTTGTCCGGGAGCAGATATAGTTTAACGTAAGGGTCAGAGCTTCCTCCCACATCCATGGCAGGGAGCTCTGCAGCCTGCAAGATGCCCACTACCAGCTAGAATTTAAGAGCACGGGAAGAAAGAATAGAAAGAAATGAGGATCTGGCCAATTGAAAGTGAGGACTCTAAAATGTGACATCGAAGAATTTACAGGTGGTGCGCATCTTACTGTGTTATCTGTGAAGTTGTAGTCTAGTGTGAAATGTAGTCTCCCCAGCTTCTCATCTTCTTTGGTCTCTTTATCTGACAACTCTGTTTCTTTGTTGCCTTCATCTTTCAGTTGCTGCACAAACACAAAGACACACAAACACATCACATGCAGTTCAAAATGCAGCTACACAAGTGATCAATGAAAACCAAGTCTTTTTATTTGTGTAGGAGTTATTTGTGCTGTGTTCCTACATTATATTATATAGCGTTACACCGGTAGAGGCAATTAAACAAATATTATGTTGCAATCCAAGGTTTTAACACCATCAATGTGTTTAAATGCAACTTGTGTCCTTGAAGATAATCCAAAATAAGTTATCTCAGTCCTCAACCTACACCACGAACTGTGCAATTTGTGAGACATCCATTACTCGTAACACACACAGACAGTTTTACTAGTCTGGGGTGACCCAAGTGTCAGAACTGTGATACATTGGAAGGACAATACATCTGCAGAGGTGTGTGCGTGCGTGCGTGCGTGTGTGTGTGTGTGTGGTCTACCTCATTGCAACCTCCATCCATTTCAGTGTCAAATCCTCCTTTGCTTTTCTCTTTTCCCTTCTTCTTGTCCTTCTCTTTGTCCTTGTCCTTCTTTTTCAAGCACTTCTTCCAGATGCACACAGCACAGGACAACACCACGCATAAACTCACGATACAAAGGGCGGCAACGGCCCAAGATGGCACTGAAAAGCCATATAAAACACACACACACACACAGATTACAAATAATTACAATACATGGAATCTTTCTTAACCACAAATTGTCATCCACACTGAAAAATGTAATGCAATCAAATCTAGTACTCCTGTAATAAATGCTGTTGTCAGAGAGATGCTTACTCAAAACTGTAGTAATCATTAGGCCTTATTTTGTTGTGGTGTTATACTGTATTACTTATATTGTAAAGAATTCATTTGTCCGTCTCCTGTGTATTTTGGGATGTATGACTCCGATATCAGCTTTACAAACATCTTGAAGTTGGACAGCTGTTGAGAGATCTGGTTACTGAAATTACAGATAATAATATTCCAAAATACAGTCATGGAGAGAATTAAATATGTATATCTGGGATCTGCAATCTTACTGTATTGTTGTTTAAGCGACTAAACATCACGCTTCCATAGAGAATACTTCAAATCTCTGGTGATATTGTATGAGCTGCTGTATTAACTCATGGTGGTGAACATTTATCTTGGTCTCTTAACTCACTGTGAATGTTGTGTAGCTCACTCATGAACTTCTTTGGATTGTGGCCTCCAGACTGTGCTCGGCCTGTGGTGGTTGTTGCATTTGACAAATGCGTTGGTGTAACCAGGGTGCCTGGTGCAGCCGGGGCAGCTCGACGGGTCCCGGTCATTGTTTGATAATTGACAGCAGATCCAGAATTAAACTGGCCAGAGAAGCTGGAGAGACCGGAGAAGACGATTAAGTCACAACATGTGCAACATACATTATATTTCAACATAACAGAAACAGCAATAACTTCCTCCATATGTGGGAGCCATCTAAACGATTCACAAATACACATTAGAGCAGATTTCTAAAACGCCATCGATGGATGTATTTGAAGCAATAATGTGCTTATGGACAGGGTATGAATATCGGTGTCAAATGACTTCTCCTGTTTCTGCTGGTCTGGCACAAACTTGAACACAGGATATGCAAACTGCTGTCTCTGCCAAACCTGCTGACATGAAGGGGAGAGGGCAGGACTCGAGAGGAGGAGGCGAGGGAGACGCAGAGTAGAAGCGTCACACGTGGACCTCTGCTGTTCCTCTGTGAGCAGCCAGAGGTGATGATCGTGTACCAAGGTCATGCTCTGTGCACATTAACAAAGGATCGAAGCCAAGACTGAACTCTGAAATAATGTTGTGATATGTTATTTTCCACTCCGCAGTAATCAGGATGTGGGGCTGAATCAGCAGATGTGATCTCAGACTTTACACTGGATACTTTACCATTTTTTTCTGGAAAGATAATCTCACATGTTACAGTTGTCTGATACTGATCGTGTATTTTGAACAATATTTCAGATTCTGATTTGGTCTTTTGAAAGTGTTTAGGAATGTTTGTTATGCCAATATGAAACAAACATTACACAATTACCTACGCATTCACAAAGTAATTATTTACTAATTATTTATGAATATTAGTAAATGTATAAATCATATTTTTCTCATTTTTACTGCAGACTCAGGTTATAGGGAAAGATTGTCGCACCATATAGACCTAACTTCGGTTGTTAATGCAGCTTTACACTTAATCCAGCAAGTTTGTACATTTGACAGTAAATAAAATGTTCCATCTGTATTTGCAAAATGTCAATTTTAAGACACTTTTAGAAAAAACTGTTTTTCTTGTGGCTTCAGAGCACTGTGTAATTTGTCAGTGAAAATAATTGAATCTGGATTTAGAAGTTGCTCATATTGATTGTGCACATCCAGTAAACAATAGAATGACCTGCATTGACCTGATTTCTATTATTATTAGCAGCAGCAATCTTTTGTGCATATTTGTTAGTATTCAGTCAGCACATTCAAAAGAGAAAGAAATCCGAGTTTTGATTATTCAAAAAAAGAGAAAAATTAGAGACATACCTGTATTCAGTGGTCTCAGCAGCAGCGTTTAGACTCAGGTATTCCTTTTCTTTACAGAGGAAAGAGGAGGAGGAAAAACGATAAAAGCAGAGAGGTGGAGAAGAGCAGTGAGGCAAGTGTCAGCCCCTTTGTTTTTGTGTCTCCAGTTCTGAGACAACAACAGTGCAGGTGTGTGAAGCTGCATCAAGAGAAAAAGAGAGAAAGTGAGAGGGTAGGACAAGATGGATTTGAGGGTGAGATCAGTAGCTTGGTCATCTTGTGTTGCTTCCCTCTGTGTGTGTGTGTGTGTGTGTGTGTGTGTGTGTTTGCGTGTAAGGGGGAAAGAAAAATGTGTACTTTTCTGTCCACTCAGGTCTCATGGGACTGCTGGTCCTTATTTCTGACGTCCCACCTTTTGTGACCCTTTGTCCCACCCCGACAGGTCAGCGGGCCACCGATGCATATTCATTAGTGTAGTGACATGGCTTTTTATGGTCTCATTAGCATAGTGAGAGTTCAGCATTAGAGGACATTTACATTCAGCGTGGACGGCTCTGTATGTGAGGGCATCTGTGCATCTGGCTGTACGGCTGCACAACTGTCTCATATCTTCTATGTATAGATGATGTTGCCTGATTTAGAAACTTAGGATGTGGTTTCTGCAGCAACACAGAGATCAAGTTCCAGCCCCGCCCCGTTCACCTTGAGGTACCAGAGATGCACAGAGATGCCGAACAGAAAGAGAGAACGAGAGACGGTGGGAGGATGGGCAGGGAAACAGTGAGCTCGACATCACCTCTGTCTGTCACGCAAAGAAATAAAACAGAGTTTTAAATCTGTTGCGGGTGTCACTCCTTTAAGTGGTGCAGAGTGGAGGCCAGTTGATTTAAAGCTGTAATGAAGTACTTATCTGAGGGTATAGATAACCCACTTTTAGGCATAAACTGTTGTATGCCTGTAGTAAATTGAGCTTTTTTATTAATAGAATTCACAATTTATATAAGAAAGGGTGCTTGGAGAGCACATATCTAATGCCCTATCATTCCGTATTAAAGAAAGTGGAAAAATACATCGTAGATCAACTCATAAATGTAATGGGGCTCTTTACCCACCCCTCATTTCATGGAAAATGGTTAAGCAGTTTTACGTAATCCTGAAAACTAACAGACATCTCTGTATCATTTCATACAGTAATATCTTCACATGTGATATGAAATATATATATATATAATATGTGAAGACAAAAAGATCAGTCAACTTTTAATATACAGTATAAACAATATGTGGTTGGTGTCTAGAGATAGAAAAACAATTCGTAACTCCGGACGCTGGGTGGCACTATAATCCGATACATCTCCACAATAAACCACAGAAGAAGACTGGTCTCCAGGATACAGAGGAAGGAAGCGTCCTCCTCTTGGACTAATGGTGAGTTCTGTAAGATTCAAATCGTGTTTCACATTTAAAAGACTGTTTCGGTTTATTTGACAATGCGTTTAAGTCACGTCTATGTATGAACGCTTGTAATAAATTAAACTCCCCTTAACCGCGACGAGAACGTTGATTTAGCCGGGTTACCTAGCTAGCAAATGCTAACGATACTAGTGTTCTCAGTAGCGAGTTTAGGAACTTTGCGGTCGTGTAAACTGTACTGATCAGTGACAGTACAAGTACACGGGCAGGACTAAAGGAGCAGTACAGGTAGTTTCTTGTTGCTGCAGTGGTGGAGCTGATGATGTGATGGCACATTACTGTAAAGTCACAGACTCTTGTAGTCACTTTTAAAGTGATGTCTTAATAAAACACAGCAAGGCTCTGTGCTGATTTGTGGATCTGTTGAAGCTAAATTAAAGTCTATAGTATCTAGCACACATAAAGTGTGTCTACCACATGAACGCTGTACTGAGTAAAATGTTACAGATACGATATATACTTGTCTAGGTATTGTACAGTTGATATCATATATGAACAGATATTACTGTGTAAATGAGAAATTGAGGCTCATTGTGTTTAGTGTAATTGTTTGTGTCTAAAACTAAAGACGGTTTCTAAATGTAAGCGATTGTCCTAAATAGACACCAGTTGAATGTCAATGGTGATAAAATCTAATTCAGTCTTCCACATGATGAGCCAAAATGTTATATCTGCACACTGTATATGATGCTGAGTCCCTAAGATGACTTGTTTTAAAATTTAAAAAAATCCTGTGTTTGTTGCCTGTTTAAAAGATTCTATATGCATAAATGTTTTTGTAGAGAATAGGTTAAAGGTTCAGTGTGTAAGATTTAGGACTATTGGCTATGTTCGTCAGAAAACTACAATTTGTATTATTTAGATTCTAAATAATACAAATTGTAGTTTTCTTTACCCTAGAATGGGCCCATTATATTTAAATACTTTATATTTATGTTCAGCTGCAACATGCAACTTCACCACAAGATGTCTCTAAATTTTAAATGCTCAACCTAAATCCTGTTTGTTTTCCAGGTTGTGGAGATGCTACCAGTACATCATCTTCACCTCAAGCATGTCCTCCAGACAGTTTGTACACTAGAGGCAACTGTCCTCCGCAGCTTTGGTCCAGAGGGAGGACAGGTGCTGTTCACCCGAGACACAGGACAGGCTATGCTGAGCCGCAGTGGAACATGCATCCTCAAAGCACTGCGACTTGAATATCCACTGGCTAGGTGAGACACAGACATTTACTTTTTCCTTCTACAATAATATTTATCAAGTGTAATTTGTATTTACATTACATTTGTGTGTTCTTCATTTTAGGATGGTGGTGGAGTGTGTCTGGAAGCATAGCAGTGTAACAGGGGATGGATCCAAGACCTTTATCCTGCTGCTGGCATCATTACTGCGAATGATTCATACAAAAGCTTGCAAGGAGCCTGACATGTCTCACACTTATAACTCTAGGGAGGCAGCAGAAGCTGCCACTGCACAGCGCTTTGCTGATGAACTGCTCACATTTGCTTTGGAAGAATTGGAGGATCTCATCGCTTTAGGAGTGGCCCCGTATGGATTCTGTGTTTCGTGGGAGGATTCCATTGCAAAAACACAACCAGCTCCTCACTCAAACACTCACTGTGTTCAAAAGCTGCTGGCATCATTCTTTCACACTCGTCTCAGTCACACCCACTGTGACTTCATAAGCAACCTCACCTGTGAAGTGCTCAGGCACTGGACATTTAAAAATGACCTACCTTCCTCAGCACTTCACTTTGTAAATGACAACTTCCCTGCATTGCATACACCTGTATCAGGCTTCCCTATTAGCTGCTCACGTCTGATTGAGGGGCAGGTCATTCACAGGGACTTTGCTGTGCCCTGCCCTCAGACTGAAGACCAGCCAGTTAAAGCTGTAGTTTTTACTGGGTACCTACAGCCAACAATACTCAGTGCTGGAGAAGTGCTTAAGGTGGGATGTGGAGGCCAAGGGACTGAGGAGAAAAGTATTGTGGAGTTTAGTGCCTGGTCAGAGAAGTCACTACAGTGTATCATTGCAACCCTGCAGCGTTTGGGTGTCTCTGTGCTCCTGTCTGCGGTGAAACAGTCTGCGGCTGTTCTGGCTTTGGCTGCACAGGCACAGATGTGTGTTGTGGAGTGTATCAGCCAAGATGAGCTGGCCCTCTTTTCCAAACTAAGTGGAACCACACCTGTGTCAGACTGCTGGACGATTGAACCACTGAATGTTTCTACTCTGACCTTTTGCCGGCCAATACTACTGGGAGTACATAGGTATGATAACATGTTGCTTCTTTTTCGTATACATATACCTGTTGTTCCAGAAATATACACAGTGTTTAAAGAAATGTACATCACAAGGCTTTGATTTTCAGTGAACTCTTCATCTGGTTTCCATCAGAGAAATGAAAATGGCCCCTCATAGATGTTGAATGCACTGATTGTAAGTCGCTTTGGATAAAAGCGTCAGCTAATGTAATAATGTAATGTAAAATGAAATCTCTTGTCCTCTTCCACAGATATGTTCACGTGGCTTTCCATGATTTACAGAAGAGGATCACAGTCAAACCCTGTAGTCTGGTCATATGTGGCGCAGGGGAAGGGCAGACAGACCAGTGTGCATGTGCATTTCAAGATGCCATCCGCATGCTACTTGTAACCTTCCAGCCCATGGGAAGGACTTCAACTACAGCATCAAATAGAACATATCAGTTTCACAATAGCACTTCTTCACATACAGCTGATCACTCTGATAGAACCACCTACTCATCCTCCAATGCGTTTCTCTCTCAGCAGTGTGTGTTGGAGCCAGGCTGTGTTATACTTGCTGGTGGGACATTTGAGTTTCTCTTAAATCATGCCCTCTTACAACGAGCCCGCTGTTGCCTTGTTTCTGATGGTACAAAGATGAGTACCCCTGCTGTTTCCCAGCTCTTGGCAAATGCTCTCCTGAGTGTACCACAACAGATCTACTCCCACAATGCGCGACATTTCCTGCAGATTCAAACCAGCATCCTCAGTTTTCTTCCAAAAGATTCCCACACGTTCAGTCTGCTATATAAACAAAAACCCAGCACAAGTCTCATACAGGCTTATTGTACCAGTGAATTTCCTGCAGCGGATTGTAAACTGAGCATGCATTGTTGTAGAAGGACTGACGTTTTATCCAAAGCTTTTATGTTGGACTTGGGCCTTGAATCTGTCTCTTGCAAATACCAGCTGCTTCTGGCTGTACTGCAGTGTGTCTCGAGTCTCCTCCGGGTGGACATGGTGCTGCACACACACACTACCTTACACACACAGTCACGCAGACCCGCAGACATTTCCTGGGAGGGCTCAGAGGATGAGGCTGAAGATTGAGATTGTATTGTGTCCTTTGCTGAAAACCATAAACATTTTTTCTTGGTACTTACTCAGCTATCATTCAGTTGATTATTAAGTTATTATTTGCTCTTGGCTATTACAGCTAATTTTGTAGTTTATAATGTATTTGTAATCATTACAAGTTTTTTGCATTACTAGAGAGTCAGTTATTTATAATTATGGCAGTACAGTTGTTTAGTGCAGTTCATAGGCCACTAAATTTGAATTCCTGTAGACCTCTGCCTTGAATTAAGGCCATGTTTGGCAATAACAGTAAAAAGAAAATTATGAAGTGTTAAAGTACACAACGCCCAGTTGTTATCAAATGCAAAAACATTTAAGTGAAATTGTTTTGTAAGTTGATGTTGGCTCGTCTCTTTGTTACTTTCTATAACGGTCTCTTTTTTTTACTCCTTATCTCAGTTTTCCTGCCCTCTTCCGTGTGTCAGTAAACATTCTGTTGTATTAAAGTCACACATGCTCAACAACATGGACACCCCTTTTTGTAATTAGTGTTATCTCCATAATGGGGGTGGGGCATCACACTAGGCTGTCAACAACCAAGTCAAAGCGCACTTCCTCTTATCAAAGGAATGCTGCTCTGACCTCTTTTTGGGGAAGTAGTGACTCATGAAACATTAACTAGAATAACAGACATCCACAAACATGCACTTTACTGTAATCTCTGTGTGGAACTAATTTTGATCACACATTCTCCAGAAATTGATTACGAAAGGGTCAAGTCAAACAAAGACAGTTCTTGGCCTGTTTGATCTTGTATATCAAAGAGGGGAAACCTGGATGAGTTTTCTGATTGTTGTTTTCCATTGTGCTTATGGAAAAGAACCTGAGTGTTTTCTGCTTTGTCACGGCACTCACGCCCTAGGAACCCCTGCAGGACCATGATACAAACAACTTACTGTAACATTCCAAGCAGAGTTAACGTATTATTGAAAACTTTGCCTTTAATCAGTCAGAGAATAGGCCTGATAAAAAAAATCCAAGTTCATTTGACTGCACTGATTGCATGCCACAAAGGATTACAAATATGTTGCAGGCATCAAGTCCTCCAATTAGTCCTTGTAGTGTTTTACTAATGTTTCAGTGAATCTGTCATAACCTTTGACCCAACCGTTTGGTTCAGGTGTCTCTGTAACATTCATCGCAGCCCACCAAACAAAATCATATATGTGGGCGATGCACACTAATGCTTTTATACAAATGATGCTCCTAAAAGACAAATTAAAATTATTTGAATTGAATAATACAAAACCGTCAGTCTTGAATTAGTACATTTTGTTTATTTGGTTCTCAATAATTTTTGTCTCTGTGAAACATAGTGCATATGGTATAAATCAAGCAAGTCTCTGTAAAATGAAATGGACCTTATAAAATACACAATCAAACCACACATACCATTTAAACATCTAAGATTAAAAATGTTTTGCTGATTTGAAAAAAAAGCAACATTTACAAAATGTGACCAAAAATATTGAAGGCATTTTAAACAAGTGCGAATGAAATAATGGGGGAAGTAAGGAAAGGAATAAATGAAATATCCTAACGACAAAGAAACTGAGATGCTACACAAATACCTAAACAGCCACAGCAGTTCACTGCTCAGCATTGAACTGGCTACTCATCACCGTGGTTTGACGTCAGTGTTGTAAGAATAGCATCATAGGATTTCATTGGCTGCTGCTGTTTGGTGCTGAAGTGTTGCTGGTTGCCTTTTTCTGTGACCCTGGACCAATATTACTCTTCTTGCCAGTGAGTGATCACGAGTGGTAGCAGTAGAAATGTGATCAGTAAATAATATTATCCTTTGTTTAGATATTTAGCAGTTCACAAAGCACTAATTTCAATCAAATCACCACAGATTGCTTATTTCTTTACTACTTAAGCACATACGACACTCGATCTATAGTTGGGTCTAAAAACCACATTGCATTTATCTAGTCCAGGAAAGTGTCGAGAGTATAGCTGAAGAATAATCTCATAAACAACAGAAATATCAGCACCCAGTCTCTACTTATGTTATGCCCCTTGAACAAGCAGTGTTTCTATTGGAAGTGGAGAGTCTGGGACTCAAGGAATGACATCATGCAATATTAACAACAATGTGGTGTGCGGGGCGGGTGTCACACCACCTCCCGAGATTTCCTGATGGCGCAGCACAGGAGCATGCTAAAGATCATTCCAAACATCTGCAGGAGAGAGGAGGACATATTACTTGTGTCTTCACCGTGTTCATCCTCCAGGTCAGCAGACATTGAAATTTGTTGAAATCCAGTGAAACAAAATCACACACTCACCATAATAACCCCAATGGTGACGCCCACTCCTCCTATGATGTGTAGTTTGGAATCGAAAACATCATCGATGACGTCAGGACAGCTCTGCAACACACAAGCAGGATTCCATGCAGCTATGTGTCTATAAAGCTATGCTGAACGTGGCTTAGGGTATGGTGCATGTAACAGCACACTGTACACCACTGTTGCCATGGTAACACCTCAAAGAGGCTGAGGAAATTGGTCTGAAAAGGGAAGACTTGATGAAATAATGACACATGTCCGACCATTGTTATGAATTTGACGCACAGTGTCAGTGCTCACAGAGCTTAGGGGTGTCTGAGATCTTTAATGACTTAAGGTAAAAATATTCTTTGTGTCATGACTGGAGAATCTAGCTGTGTTGGCATTCAATCTATACACACATTCAGGATGGTTGTACCTTAGTAATGAGCTCCTCAAGTGGCTCCCCTCTGGGACAGGTTTCTTTGGCAGCGTCTGCTGGTGTACCAGTTGGACCGCAGCAGTTCAGCTGTTCACATACAAAATCAGCATGTTAGTGAACAAGGAGACTTGCAGAAAGAAACCATATCTCTGAAAATGTGTTCCTATTAAAGGCAAACATTTGAATTCCAATTTTAGGTTGTGCCTGAAATTACTCACTCCTCAATACTATAGGGAGTTCATCATCATTGGATACATGTCATATTAAGTGTATTTTCCTACTTGAATATACCAAAGGCATTTCTTGTGTCACAACTTCAAATTTCAAATCTCTTTCAATCGAGGGTATTGGGGCTTTTTATTCAGACATGGCACAAACCTTCTTACTATTGAGAACTAAACATGGAGAAGCAGTGTTAAGCTCTAAAATCCATATTGAAGCCTTTCCTCTTTGCCAACTGCCTTTTATGAAATCGAATACACACTTATTTCCTTCCCTTTTTTTAATGTGTTATTAATTTAATTCTCAATGTAAAAAATGTTTAGTCATGTTTCCGTGCTTCTTATTTGTATTTTCTTATGTTGCTTTTACAATTTGTCATAATGCCTTTTTATATTTTATGTAAAACACTTGTCTTATTTTTGAAATGTGCTTTACAAACAAACTTGAGCTACCTTCACATCATGCATTACTCTCTCCTCTTGTGTGTTGGCTGTTTTTCTGTCATTCAGCATGAGGGCAATGCATGATGGTATGTATTACTCGGTTAGTGACCATCAGTGACCAAATACTTGTTACAGTGCATTGTGGCAGACAATATACTATATAGGATATAATAAAAAGATCTTCAGAAACAGTATAAAGTTAACTTTATAATGAGGGTTAGGGTTATTATATTTATATTATTTTTATATTCAAAGTCTTGTAGTCGCATTGAGGTTGCCAGGCAACCAGTGGAAATGCTGCACAGATGTCCTGGATGTATATATGAGCCTCTGTTCATCAAGAGATAGTTACAGCACAACTCCTACTAAAAGACTTGATAATTTTTAATTATTGTCAGTGCTCAAACTACTCAAGTCGACACACAATCAGAAGACAACATGAGATGTATTGGTATGTGTGTGACCTTTGGAAATTAAGTGTCTGCTTCAAGTGTGTAAGCTTAGCAACACTAAGCACCACTGTTAACGCAAAGACATTAGTGGTATCGATCTTTCTAATGCAACTCTCCTGAACTGAAATAAAAATAGTCTCATATACCAACATGCAGATTTTAAAGTTAATTAGCTGAATTCACATTTTCTAGTCATCAAAAACATAATGGATCTCTTTGCTGTTGACAGAGACGTCTTGCAAAGTTCCCATGGGAAAACATTGCATGCACTTGAAAATGTAATTTGTTCCAAATTACTTCGATAAGGTCTAAGTCAGGTCCAATTAGTGTCGATTGGTCTGAACCAGAATTAAGTGGAAATGGCTGACCCCTGTTTGAATCAATCGCAGTGTCTCTCTGAGGCGCTCATCTCCCGTTGTCTTATAGTTGTTGTAGGTCTGCATGTAAAACGTTGTGATGTCGTTCACCACCTGCAACACAGCAGCAAGGAGGATTTATTAATATGCAACACTCAAGCAGACAACATTTCTTCATGCTGCCTTATAGCAGCATGTTCGTGTTTCACTCAGCGGCAGTATTTCACTCACTTTGTTGTCTGTCAATTTTACTACATAAACTCAATTTAACTTTGTTGAAAAGTTCTCACACAAATTAAATCAGTTGAATGTACTTTTTTGTAAGTTTTACGATACCTTGCTTTGATTGGAAAATCCCCAGATTCCAGCTGCCACCTCGATGGCAAATATGATGAGCAGGAAGCCAAAGAACTGTGCCGAGGAAAAACAAAATTGCGTGAATGTTTGGCTCCATGGAGGCTTGTGCGCATGTACTTTGTGTGCATGTATGAACACATTAGGTCATCTGAGTGTAGCTAAACCCAATTTACATGGCTCCACCTCCTGAGAGATTTAGTCCAAGAAGATTAGGGCCAGACATGGAGGGAGGGAGGCAGGGAGAGAGTGGAGACTCTTCTTTGGCCTTGACGATGTTCAGTAAACAATGATGAAGGCAGACTCTCATATTTCTTACTGCACCCAAGGTCAGTCTACAATCCTCACATGTGAAGTCAAGTGTGGGAGTTGCTGGCAGTAGAATGTACTTGTTCTTCAAGAGCTTCTACTTTACAAATTACTGTGAGTGAATAGAAATTAATAGAATAAGGTCAACGCCCCATCTCACCATGTTTTTGTTTATTCTGATCCGCTCCAAAATGTAATTCTAAAAGTATTACAAATGTTGTTGAGTCATGCCCCACCCCTCATTTCATGGAAATTGGTTCTGTAGTTTTTGTGTATCAGATCTGACAAACAAATGACGATAAGCAAATGCAAACACAAAAGTGGTACGAACCAGTCCCAGCATAGCAGGGGACTCCCGGATGGCCCCGCAACATCCCAGAAAACCCACCAGCATCATTAGTGCTCCAGCTCCAATCAGGATGTATACACCTGCACACATAATAAATATATATATATATATATATATATATATATATATATATATATATTGCAAATTACAGCATACACATAATCTTTGTCTTGAAGGGTATGTGATTTGATTCAGTGTCTTACCTGTGTAAAACACATATGGAGAGTCTGTTCCCTCAAAAAGGCCTTTGGTCTTTGGGTCAAATCTCAGCCAAAGGCCTATGGCAAATACAGCAGTACCTGCAAGCTGGAGACAAGAGTATATCCTCACATGAAGTTCTGCAGTTACATCACTCAATGCACACTGTTTGCCATTTATACTGTACTTTTATTTAACAATGTCACATGTTTATTAATGGTCCACCTCCAATCACTTCCGTTGTTCTTTTGTTTCCATTGAGTAGCTTTTGCATTTGTGTTGTGGCTTTAAAAAATATTTTTGTCGATTCGCTTGTGTGAGATGTCATGACATTATGAGTGCATGTCGTCATTTCCTGCCATACTTCTCTGTTCCCAGTTGCACTTTGCACCACGGGTGTCAGTGCATGGAACCATAACGTGCATAGACAGGCACTTACAAACTTACAAACCTTGTCAGCACAGACAGGTCAGTCCAGAGAATCCTTGTGAAACACAACTCTTTTATGCAAAGGGTGTGTGTTCTACTTTTGTATTCTGTTGTTCTTTCGACAATTTTTCACCTTCTTTACTTCCTCTTGTATGATTTATGTGCCATTGTTTGAGCAAAATGGCAGATCAGAGTAATCAGAGTTGTGTAAATCTTTAACACGACTGCTGAGGAAAGGTCTCCACCCCTGTCTCTCTCTCTCTCTCTGTCTGTCTCTCTCTCTATCTCTCTCCCCCCTCGTAGACCCTTACCCTAACGTGAACCTTAACGTAACTTTGTCCTCACTTCCTCAAAATGTCTTCAGTCTGTAACTCTGTAACTCAAGCTGGTCCTCACAAAGACTCAGTTACAAGCAAACAAAACCCCACAGCAGAGTAGGACAGAATAAAAAAACACACCTACCCAAAAGATAAAGTTGAAGACAAACATGAGATATTTCACACACTTGATTCCCCCAGCGACAGCCATGTTGATTCAGTTGACACACACAGAAACACACAGAAACAAACACAGACTGTGCAGCCAGGAATGCCTCTCGCTAACTAATTCCAAGGAGGAAGTAAAAACATCAAGGTGTCAGTTAGTGGAAAGGCAACACGCTTTCACTACCACACCTTCATTTGATCACCTGATCACACAAGTAGGAAATTGCAGGAGTGGTGGTGTTACATTAGATACTGTCCTTCATTGTGTGCGTGATATCAACTCCTACCTGGGATTGCTTTCTGTCTTTTGTTTAATTTTCAATGTAAAGTTTGTGCGTCTGTGTGCAAATCATGTGGACAGGCAAGGTTTGTAGGATGTGGGAGGGAGCAGCACGTTCAGACACGTACACATAAAACATTTTGTAAAAAACCTGTTCTGCAGCATATTTACTGCTCTTCTGTCTGAACTGTGTTATTGGCTGCTCCTAAATATGGCTACTTCCCATTCCTATATACATGGGAAGTTTAGTAATCACTGCCTATAGCTTATATACTCCCAGAATCCGTTATTATTAGTTTTGTGTGCAAGGTTGACCAAACACTGAACATGTGCTCTCTTGTCGTGTCCACATTGACCTGAAGTCAGATGTGTGTGTGCGCTGTGTGATTTGTGGCTGCATGAACGATATGACAAGAGCGTCTTCACTTCACGCTTAATAAATCGAAAAGGTTGTTGCAGGCTGTGTTAAAACTATCTAGAAACTGTTGATTTATAGTGAGCTAAAATGTATTGTCACCTTATTCCTTTCTTGAAGTGTTTCTTTGCTGAAACACTGCATTTTCTGTGTATTTTTTGCATATAGCTCCGTCGAAGAGGTATATGTTTTCACCCCTGCAGTCGGTTTGTTGCATAGATGGTTTGTCTATAAGCAAGATAATACAAAAACTATGGATCCACTTCCGCAAAACTTAGTAGAAGGGTGCAGTATTTGTCAGCGAAGATCTGGATCAGTGGGTGGATCCAGGATGTCTTTTATCACTTTCTTTAACATTAAATATAAATATTTAAAGACATAAATAGTTTTACATTTTGTATTAATTTCTCAGGAAACAATCCATGCATTTTGATTTGAAAAACTGAGGCACATTTAGGTGACTGATATCTATGCAGTCTGTGTAATTCGGTGCTGTTTTAGTGAATAGGGAGATTATATGAGCCTTGCCAAGTATTTAATATCCCAAATTGATTGTGCTTTGTGTCATTTCTTTCTCACACACACACACTCACACACATTGAAGCTGTGGGAAACCCCTGTCTGCTCTGCGATGAATGCTGATCTGCTTGGCTCTATGTATAGCTGCACAAATGACAAACGTCCCTAAAAGGACAAAACATCCATCTGAAACCACATGCAAACAAACGCACACAGCAGCCAGGACACACCCTGCAGGCTTAGTGGGACTCAAATAGCCATATATATAGATATGAAACCAGCATTCATTCACACACAACACATACATAAACACACACACATGCACATTTACATGGACTGACTCTGACATGCGCAACACTTCACATCACGTGACGGAGCAGAAGTCTTAATTATTATTATATTAGTAATCAGTATCACCACCACAATAAAAACAAGCGTATCTCCTCCCCCACTCTGCAATTATTAAAATGCCGTGCGCGCAAACTCCACAGTGTGGTCTTTGCCGTGGAACTGGGTCACTTGGCCACTGGGGATTATTCTTCCATCAGCCTGCACAGGCACTGGGACACTTTGTGTTCACTGGTGTCCAGAGCCACAAACCCTCCGAGGGCGCACTGCCGAATAAACTGGGATAATCAACCCGGGGCTGTCCGCGAGGGCTCGGCACGATCCCATACATCTGCGACTCTAGTATAATTTCATTCACAGCGTAGTAAAGCTGCTCACACACGGATGCGCGTGCACGTGAAGCTCACACACGCATGCGGGATGTTCTTTTTTAAGAGAACGACGCGCTTTTCTCGCTTCAAACTCACCCAGAACACCAGGTTGAAGGCGAACATCAGGTACTTGACGCACATCTCTCCTCCCGACAGCGCGGCCATGGCGGAACACGAGCTGTGGCTTCACACTATCTCTGACGGTGGAGGAGAAGAGAAGCAGAATAACTGTGTGAATGCACAATGAGGTTATTTGCCGACGCGCCGACGGCTCTTACGCGCGTCGTCTGTGCGCGCCTGTCGTGGTCCGCCCCCTCACATATAACGGACTGCACAGCTTCCTCTAGTTCTTTATTTCTTTATTTCAAAAACTTACAATTTTTATAAATTACCAACAGTTTTTATTGGGACTTTTCTCTTAAATGTCCCTGGTCTTTAAAGTAGCCTAAGATTATTATTCTTGTTCATATTGCATCTTCTAAGTGTGCAACCCACAGCCTGTATATTACGTTGTTTTCATGTGTACAATGAGAGGCTGTATAACAAAGCCCGGAGCTGCAGCTTCTTCTTGCAGCTTCTCGGTTGCAACTTTCTGCAGCATTCACCCTGGCCCGTGCGATGACGTAATTTTCCCAGAATAAGAAAAGCGCGTTCACGTGTTGAATATAGCGATGGTCCTGTGTGCATGAACGAACACGGTGCTCGGGCATGAACTCTCGATCGACGTGACAGCACATGGTGCAGCCGACACACTCTCGCACACAAGGGCCAACCTCACTTTGTCTTACACATTTATTATTGGGAATTAAGACGTAGTAGATGAGTCACTTTGGATAATTAACAAATCATTTTTTAAGACTCAATAGATCTGTTGTGTTCATTTATAAAAACTCATCCCAGTAGAACGACCAATTACCGCTTTGAGAATGTTTTAGAATCTGGACAAAAAACTTTAATCACTAATTTATTAACCTTTAAAATCATTCTATTAATAGATTGTTATAAATAAGTTTAACTGATGGCTGTTGGGCCCAGCCAATTTATCGGTTGCCCTATATAAGTTTAAGTTCTATATATATTTGGTTGAATTTGTGTTTTATTTAATTTATAGTTATATAATAAAGTTTATGGTTTTACTAAGTCCCAGTTGCATTTCTTTTTCATACAGGTTTGATAATCTTAGAATTCACTGCCAAACATAAGGCCCCAATAATCCATGTTATTCAGGGTCTCTTGTTGGCTTATTACTAAATATGAATACATTACAGACAAATAGGAATCCATGTCTCTATTAAATATGTTGGCTAAATAAAACATGAGAGAAATGTGTTTCTGCTTAAAGTTTTCTTTATTAAATGAATAAAATAATAAAATATAATAAATATTGAAAGGCCCTGTAGTTGTTTTCAGATATTTTATTGTTGAAGAATTACCATAGACTGATATGAAATTTGTCCCTTCCTTACAGAACAAGCACGAAGGTCAGTCAAGTCAATTGTTCACTAGCTTCTAATCACTTTTCCTCGAGATGGAAAATGTCATGAGATCTAGGAAAGACGTGAAGGAGAAACTGTAATTTGCGGTTCTAAAAGAATCCAACTACATGAATGGGCCAGTAATCATGCGGTTGTGGATGTTATTGACATGGAAAGGTGCATGCTTTAAATATTGCAGCTGCAAGGAATTGTGGGATGGCATTAACTCCTTTCATTTTGTAAACTATTGGTCTGGTGCAGCCTTAGCTTAAGCAGATAAGTGAAGCAACGATGCACTCTTCCTTAGAATTTAGAGATTTAGACCAGCTCTTATCATGGGTGAGGCTTTGATAATGCAATCGTTATTTGAGAAATGAAAGTGCTTTCAGCCACAACTTCGGTGTGTGTACTCCCACACAGTCTTCAGAACATTTTTAACAACATGTTGTTACAGGGGGGTGCCAGAAAAGTTTTTTTGTTCTCATGGAAAATATTTTGACATGTAACACCAGGAAATGAACGGTATAATAAGAACTATAATAATTTGAAATTCCAGCTTGTTGCAGAGGTCACACACACACACACACACACACACACACACACACACACACACACACACACACAGATTGTATTTCTCCTAGCATGGCCTTTCTCATACTTCTCTTGAATTACTTCCAACGTCATAGTCATGAGTATAGCTAAGTTTATACATTTATTTATATTTTAGCCTGTTACTATTTTGTATATCCTTTCACATGAACTTAGTTTATTATTATTTTCCCGATTATTTTATTTTTGGATTTGCTCATTTTAATACATCAATTCTGTTAGGTTTTTATTATTTTTACTTTCAATCTATTTCTTTTCTGTTCACTTTACTTTTCTATTTTTTTCTGTGTGTGCACAGGCACTTTGCTACATTCTGTTTGTATGGAAAGTGCTATATTAATAGTCTGATTGATTGACTGACAGCATAACTTTACTCAATATTAATCATAGGAGAGGTCCAATTAACCAGAATAACCTATGTGAGAATAAGCAGGTGTTGAAGATGCACAAGTTTATATTTGATCTATTGTGCCACTGCTCGAATGAGTGAACGTGTTTGAAAAATGTTTGATGAAATGTTATTCTCTCTCCTCTAGCTTCTAATGGAAAACTTGCATATGAACTTTGCTTGAACTCTTTCCTATGTCTGATCAATGCTCGTGTGCTGTGTTAAAAAATAACTCATATAGAAACACAATTGTGCTCGCATAAGAGGAACTGTCTGGAGTAAGTGCAGACAAACGATTCGAAACTATCAAATGCCCTGACTGTTCCTGTGCACTTGGCAGATGTAACCTCAATTCATGTCCTTTCTGGATGATGATCCTCTGGTTGATCCTGATCTGTGCAGTATCAAACCTCTTCTTTCACGCAGAAGCAAGAGCAGACAGCTTCCTGTTTCAACCAGACTACAGGTGGCTTCAGTTTTCATGCTATTACTCAGAAACAGTTGTCTCTTATGTTTCCTATTTACCTGACCGTATAAAAACATTCTTCTTTCTGGGTTATTCCACTTTGACTGTTCGGAGCAGTTTGCACCTGAGAGTGTTGACCCTTACACGTTCCCAGTGTGTGTGATAATGTCTGTGTATCATTTTGGCACATCTTAGTCATATGTTTGTCCGTGTGGCTCCAGCCAAGCAGGGTTGTTGCGTGAGATATCTCCAGCAAGTGTATTTTCCACCAGAAATGTTTGGGTTGGCGCCGACACAGATATGCATGTGTAGACAAATTAGTCAGCCAGGCGATCAGTGGGCATATCCTGGTATTGTCCTGCTGAAGCTGTTTGATGGTGTCAGTCTGCGGGCACCGTGTTGTGGACAGAATGATATTCGGCCCTTCTTGACATAACCTGGCGAGGGGAGGGAGCTTTTAGCGAAAGTCAACAATAGCTGGGGGTGGACACATTCTTTGCTATAAAATAGAGTTTCCAGTGTGGTTGCGTATCTGTATGTAACAGTGTTTGACCGCCTCATCAAGTTTGACTCAGACCATCACATTATATCATCATGAGGATTGTTTGCTTTTTCTTTGCAATTCTGTGAATCACCTGAATCTGGAGCGATGGAGGTAGGGCTGACTGGAGTTTGGAGAGATGGAGAAGGAGGTGATATTCAGACATCAGAGGATGGTGTCGATGTCGGTTTAGGTGATAATGGAGAAGTTGTGTACGTGTGTGTTTCAGGTGTGTATGAGGAGGTGCTTGCGAGGGGTTTGGATTCTCCTGCATCTGACAGGTGAGTGTCACATCAGTGTGTCCACTTTCTCCATGAGGTTTGCACACAAATCTGAGCTGGTTCATTTATATTTGTATATTTTGTGCTTCCAGCTTGTGTTGCAGGTCTGACAGGGAGATGTAGTCTGTTCGGGCGACACCACGTTCACACGTTTGATGGAGTTTTGTATGAGTTTCCTGGAGACTGCAGCTACCTACTGGCTGGAGACTGTAACCATCGCTCCTTCACACTACTGGGTGAGTCATAGACGATTCAGTAAAAGAACAAAACACATTTGAATTCTAATGGTGGCTCATACTGTGCATCGTGCAGGAGATGGATACTCACTCTGATATAATAGTGTATGTACTTGCAGTAATATTTTAGACTCATTCAATTTGTTTTAAAGGTTGTTTACCCTCAATTGTAATATGGATAAAAAAACGTGTTGTGCATCTGCAGGTGATTTTGTCAATGGCAAAAGAACAGGAGTCTCTCTGTATCTGGGAGATGCATTTGAGTTGCACCTGTCTGTAGATGGCAGGCTCACACAAGGCGAAACAAGGTGGAGTAATACAATATTTAAGTTGTCGTGCCACAATCATCAGTTAAGTTAATGTTCACTTTCGACTTATTGGAGAAAAAAATCCATCAAGATTGACGTGTGTCTCCTTTCTCTGTAGACTGTCTCTGCCCTATGCATCTCACGCTGTGTTTGTGGGCTCTGAGCTGGGCTTTTATAAGCTCTGGAGTGAGGAGTTTGGCTTCACTGTCACCATTGATAATGCAGCCAACATCGCCATGACACTGACCAAGCACCACGCCAACCGCACCTGCGGCCTGTGTGGAAACTTCAACGCTGTACCAGATGATGAATACACCGCTCAAGAGGGTGGGTACATGTGGGGAAATGTGGGATCACTTATGTAGGATATGTGAAGAAACTGTAGGAAGGGTTCTTTATTACTGGAATTTAGGAAATGATGTGGGTTACCACGGGTCAGCAACAGGAAGAGAAACAACTTAGCACAGGAAAAGATAACAAGGTAAAAGAAACAGTGGTGGAAGGGTGAGATTAAGGAGAAATCTGTGTGTGTGTGTGTGTGTGTGTGTGTGTTTGTGTGTGTGTGTGTGTGTGTGTGTGTGTGTGTACTTTCAGGATTCCTAACAGAGGACAGTTATGATTTTGCAAATTCGTGGGCAGTGAAGGGAGCTGAGCAGTCCTGTCAACGCATCTCAAAGCTCAGCCAGACCTGTAACAACACCAAAGAGACTCCACTGGTGAGAGCACATTAATATGATCTGTGAAGATGTTATGAAAGCTTTTTGACACCAGCAGTGATTATTGACAGTGATATGACAGGGACCATACAAAGTCGAGATGAGAATTTTGTTCGGTCAATTCCTCTTTATGTAACTGCATGTATGGGTGTGTGTGTGTGTGTGTGTGTGTGTGTGTGTGTTTATGTGTGTATGCATGCATGTGTAGATTTTGTCCAGCTGCAATGTGTTGCAGACCTCCAGTGTTTTCCTGCACTGTGCCCACCTGGTTTCTCCCGAGGCCTTCCTGTTGCTGTGTCAGGAGGAGGCATGTCACTGTGACCAGAAGGAAGGCGAAGACTGTTACTGTCCAATCCTGTTGGAGTATGCCCGCACGTGCCACGCCCATGGAATACTGCTACGAGGCTGGCAGGAGGAGAGCCAGTGCTGTACGTTTGTCCGTCCAAAAAAGGTCAAAGAAACCGAAAAAGTTACATCAGTAATCCTAATATGTGTTTTTCTCATGGACAGTCCCCAAGTGTCCAATTGGGATGCAGTACAGTGAATGCACCAAGTCCTGCTCCACCAACTGCCACAGTCTCAACATCCAGGAGGTCTGCAAGGAGGAGTGTGTGGACGGCTGTACATGCCCTGGTAACCTCCTGCTCGCTGCACCTCCTCTCTCTCTGTCTCTCTGGTAGTCGTCGTGATGTGGTGTGATTCTGTGTTTCAGTGGGTAAGGTCCTGGACGGTGATCGCTGTGTGGAGGTATCTCAGTGCTCCTGTGTGCATATGGGACGACATTTCCCTCCAGGATCCACTATCTCTCAGGACTGCAACACCTGGTGAGAAGGGCCCTATGCATGCACTTCACGGAGGTACTTCCAAAATGTTTCTGAAATGCGTCTCTTTCCTGCAGCGTGTGTCGTCACGGTTCTTGGGAATGCACCAACGAAGGCTGCCCTGGTGAGAGAGATCTACAGCATGAGTCATGCGTTTTATCTCATTGGTAAATAAAATTGCTGGGTTGACTATATTTTCTGTTCCGTCTGTGTCGTCTGTGTGTAGGTGAGTGCTTGGTGGTGGGACAGTCGCACTTCAAGACCTTCGACAACAAGTTTTTCACTTTCACTGGCCACTGTCAGTATCTGCTGGCGAAAGACTGCACAGAGAACGGCTTTTCTGTCATCATTGAGAATGTGCAGGTAATCAATGTTCCTTGTCTTTGATGGAATTTATTTCCTGACACTTTGCTGCAACTAGTTTTTTTTTACTTATTGTTTCAGTGTGCAGACGATCAGGATGCTGTGTGCACGCGCTCGGTGACGCTCAGCCTGCCCTCTCTGGAGGACATGACAGTGAAGCTGAAGCACGGCGGTGTTGTCTCAGTCAACAGCATGGACATCCAGACCCCAATGCATCATGGTACGCCATGTTGGTAGATGAGTGGATTAGAGTTGCGTTTCATATTGTTTCAGTCACTTGTGTTGATTTTCAACTATTCGCTTCCTTGTTTTGTGCAATTTCACAGGCCGTCTGCATATCCAGAGATCGGTCCAGTCCTCTGTACGCGTCAAGTTCGGAGATGACCTTCGTCTAGACTGGGATGGGCGTGGCCGGGTCCTCTTAAAAGTTAGTTATGTTAAAAAAACTAAAAAAAACATTTGGTGATGACATGTGTAAAAAAAGAGTCAAACAACTGCACTAAATTCTGTTTACCACCCCAGCTGGGACCAGGATGGGCAGGCCAAACCTGTGGTCTCTGTGGCAACTTCAACGGTAACCAAGGTGACGACTTCTTGTCTGGTTCTGGACTGGTGGAGGCAGCTCCTCAGTCATTTGGCCAGTCTTGGAGAATCAATGGAGACTGTGAATCCTTCCACAAACATGAGATCGATCCATGTGCCACGAACCCCAAAAGAGGTATCATCACTAATATGTTCCAGTCCATTCTCAGTGTCTCAGCAGGTTCAGAACATTCTGGATTGATTTTAAAATTCTAAGCTAGAGAGATATAGTTTTCTGATTATTGTTATTATTATTATATAGACACATGTCATCCAATAAAAATAACCAAACCCTTACTTCTAACCCTCCTTCGCCTTTCAGTACGTTTTGCAGAGGAGGCGTGTGCGGTGATAATGTCCGACATGTTTAGTCCGTGCCACTTTCTGGTGAACCCTGGTCAGTTCCAGCGATTCTGTCGTTACGACGTGTGCGCGTGTGTGGACGGCGAGGTGTGTCTCTGCTCTGCTCTGTCTGCCTACGCAGCTGCCTGCGCTGCCAGAGGAGTGCTGCTCAACTGGAGGTCTCCTTCACTCTGTGGTAACTGTTTTATAGCCAAACACTCATATGCATATACACTAGTAACTATAAGATTGTTTCTATGCAGTTTTAGACAGAATAGAGCTTTGTTAAAAGTCAGTAATAATCTTGGTAAGGTTTAAGTTTGAGTATGTCAACGTCAGGACTTGAAATCCACATGAAAATCAGTTTGTATCATAATTCCAAGGATGGTTTAAGCCTTTTTGTGTCAAAAAGCTGTTTACACATGTTTATACAGATAAAAACGTAACTGAGAACAGATGAGTGATCAGAATAACTAATCAGGGGCGGGCCTCGTTTGGTTTTCTCAGAGCTGGAGTGCACTGAAGGCCAAGTGTATGAGGCCTGTGGGAGTGTGTGTGACCGGACGTGCAGTGCCCTGTCTGGGGCTGAGGCTGGATGCGAGGGGGAGAGGTTGTGTGAGGAGGGATGTTTCTGTCCCAGTGGAACGTATCTGAGCAACACTGGAGAATGTGTGACAGCTGACCAGTGCACCTGCCTGCATGACGGACAGCTCTACCAGCCGAATGACGTCTACGCTGATCACAACAGTATCTGGTCAGTGACTGTGAATGTTTATCCTAAGAAACTAATCTCATTATATTATATGAATTAACATTTATTTCTGTGTAGCTACTGTGAGAATGGCTCCATGCGCTGTAGCTCCACTGAAGTGAGCACTTTGCTGTCTGACCTCTTCTACGATGATGACCTGGCACCATCCAGAGGTACAATTTAAAATATAGGTTGTTTTTTTTTAATTAAGACTTGACTTGACCATTGAATATAAGTTTAATGACTTGTGTTGTCACATCTTTCATTTGATTTACTGTATTTTACTTGAGATATGCCCTTTTACACACTGAGCTACTGGGTCTGTCTTTAGTCTGATTGTCCAAAAAGTTAAATTATTTGCACCTCCTACCAAGGTCCATCACTCCCTTTAAATATAAAGATATAAATATTGTTCCCCTCAATAAACTCGATTGTCTTCATTGCGATCCATGAATTATTCTCTAGGAAATAAGTGAATATGTTACAAAACAAAATTCCAGATTTTGTTTGTCCAGATCCACACATAAAACATTGCAATCTGTCCTTGTCCATGTTCCATCCTTTCAATAAGTTCTTGTAGAAATCCATTATGTAGTTTTTGCCTGATGCTTTTATTGGAAAGGGGCAAAAACAAAGCTAAAAAAAGAGGAAGAGGTAATTATTTCTTGTGGGCCCCAACATTTTTCTTTGTAGAAATTGACTGCTAACTTAATCATGTTGTTTTTCTGTATGCAGAGCGGCGGTCAGCCCAGTGCACTCCTCCATTAGTTCATGCTCAGTGTGATGCTGGAGAAAAAGGCCTGGAATGTGCCAGGACCTGCCAGAACCTGGACCTGCCCTGTGTCAGCCTCGCCTGCATCCCCGGCTGCCTCTGTCCTTCCGGCACAGTAAGTGGTGTGTTTCCTTTGTTTGTGTGTGTGTGTTGTAGATAAAGCACCAAACATCTAAAATGGAGTGGATTGATTTCAGGTGCGTCACCGCAGAGACTGCATTGCACCGGAGCAGTGTCCTTGTTACCATAACAACCGACCATATACATCAGGACAGACCATCTCTGTGGACTGCAACACTTGGTAAAACGAATGGCTTGCATGTGTGTGTCTATGATGGGTAATACCTGCACTGTGCTTGCTCAACAGACTTTTGGTCTTGCAGTGTGTGTGAGAGCAGGAAGTGGCGCTGCACAGAGAAGCTGTGTGATGGCGTGTGTCGCACGGTGGGCGAGGGGCATTACATCACTTTTGATGGCCACAAGTACTCGTTTCCGGGTCTCTGCCAGTATGTCCTGGTCCAGGTAAGAGATCCATTGTTGTTAAAATAGAAAATATATATAAAATATATTTAACTAATCTCTTAATCTATTATTTATCAGGATATGTGTCATGGAGAAGAGGGTTCATTCAGAGTGCTGGTGGAGAATGAGGCCTGTGGAATTGTGGGACATCGCTGTGCAAAATCTGTCAAAGTCTTTTACAATGGAGGATTGATTTTAATGCAACATGGAGAGGTAACAAACTCAGAGACACGTTGATGTGGCATACATTGCATACATGTGAGTGACTATGCCATCACTCTGTCTTTCTCTCCTGCAGGTGAAGATGAAGAAACCGGTGCTGCAGGGCTCACAGGTGGAGATTGTGAGATCCGGTCAGTTTTATACTCTGCTGCTCGGGAAGCACATTTCCCTCAGCTGGGACAAGGGCACCCGTCTCCTGGTCCACATCTCAGCCACGTACAGGGTACATATGTATGGCGCTCAAGTGTCCCTGGTCTTTCTCGCCCCCCCCCCCCTCTCCCCTACTTCCCCCTCCCCACTATCCCTCTCTCTTCTCTCCCCCCTTTTCCACCCATCTCTCATCTCCTTCCCCCGTTTTCTTTGCTCACCCCAACCGGTCGAGGCAGATGACCGCCCACATTGAGTCTGGTTCTGCCAGAGGTTTCTCCCTGTTAATGAAGGAGTGTTTCCTCTCTACAGTCGCCAAAGTGCTGCTCATTGTGGGAACTGATGGGTTTCTCTATATTTTGATTTTAAGCTCCTGACCTTCTATGTTAAGTGCCTTGAGATAATGTTTATTATGATTTGGTGCTTTACAAATAAATTTGAATTGAATTGAATTGAATGTATGAATTGAATTGAATGTATGAAAACACTTTTTGTTTGTACTGGTTGAAACGTTTATTCACATTCTGTTTTCGTTCCATTCATTTCCTCGTGTGTAGGGCCGGGTGTGCGGTTTGTGTGGTAACTTTGATGGAAATGTCAACAATGACTTGATTAGCAGCAACAATCAGCTCGAGGTCAACTTCTCACACTTTGGAAATTCCTGGAAGGTCGTTCCAAGCTGTGCCGATGTAACACAGGTAAACTCTCATGTATTTAAGGTGACATGATGAACATGATAAATAAATATTTCACACAATACAAGGGAAGAAGCTGTTTTTCACATTAGACAATTTTATATGTTCTATCCTTAATATTTCTGCCGTCATCATAATACAATTGGAGATGTGTGAATATGTTTGTGTGTGTGTGTGTGTGTGTACCTGTCTGTGTAGATACCGGCTCCATGCAGCGACAACATTGTCAAGTTAGTAACAGTGGAGCAGTCATGTCGTGTGGTCACAGCTCCCCCCTTTAAAGAATGCAACAGCCAGGTGAGTGTTGTTCCAGACACACTAGATATCACCATGATACCATGTTCACTTTTCATGCTCTTTTCTTTACCTCTTCCTGTGTCTCCAGGTGGATGCAGAGCCGTATGTGGAGATGTGCGTGGAGGCAGCGTGCTCCTGTCCATCTGTGGGCGACTGCGCATGTTTCTGCGACGTCATCGCGGCCTACGCTCAAGCTTGTTCCGAGAGGGGTGTGGCTGTCAGCTGGAGGTCGAATGATCTTTGCCGTGAGTGTGAAGGACTTCTCCATCATTTTCATCACCTTATTTCCTAAATATATAATTTTTTCATAAACAGAAGAAACTGTGTCCCTGGTTTTGAAAATACATCACAACTGCTCGACTAAGCAAAACCAGTAAACAATGTCTTTTGAGCTATAACAGAATCAGGTGAAAAAATATTGATGTTATATTAATATTCAGTCAGCTCCTCTGCAGCTCTATTCTTTCTTAGAACACAACAACATCTAATCATAAAACCAACCCCTCAACCTTTTAGTTCTGATGAATCACAAGCACAGCCCATATGACAGCTTTCACTCTACCAGTTAGTGTTAACACGTTTGTATTTCTGTTCTCTGAACCGGGAGTTATCCTATTTTGTCTATGTTGTCTTTGTTTTACTTGCAGCATTAGGTTATTATTTATTTTGTTGTTTAGTTTTTGTCTGTGTTATCTATATTTTCATATAAGATGTGATGCGATGCTCTGAATCTCTTCTTTAATGGTAGAAGTTCTTTAATGGACAAGATTAACTGGTTTTTACTACTTGACTACACAGTTTCCTTAAAGAAAGAGACCTATGTAGTTAGGTCAAAGTTTGTCAGAGGCTTAATAGAATTATGGTATTTTTTTATCTGGGCCCTATGTTTATGAATGTTAGTGTGTGTGAATGAATGGTACTTTCATTTGGAATCAGACCAATACATCTTTTTCCTGGCAGTTGTGACACTGCAGCGGTGGCTATAAGGTGATGTTATGGGGCAACAGCGCCAGTCCATGACACGTCCACTAATTTGGACACATACTTACCTTTTGTTGAGCCATGTGTAATGTTGCCATCCAAATATCCAGTCAAAGTTGCCTCATATGATTACATTTAAGTTCCAGTGGAGGTGATCTACTGGATAGATTCCAAATTTTTATAAGTAATATTTATTTACACACTTACATTCATAAAGTATAAACTGAACCCTTTGTTTCCTTAGCCATGAGCTGTGAGGAGCTGAACCCCAGGAGCCCAGGCTTAGGGGAGGAGTCATGCCAGTGGAGGTATAACACTTGTGGCCCTGCCTGCCCAATCACCTGCCAGCACCCAGATCCCCTCCACTGTTCACTCTCATGTGTGGAAGGTTGCCATGCTGTCTGCCCCTCAGGTACTAGAAATACTCAACACTCACAGTATTCATGTATTTGGACACATTGTAATACAAACTAGTTTTTCTCAGGCCAACTACTGGACGAGGTGGCCATGCGCTGTGTGGATCCCTCTCAGTGTCAGGTGTGTATCCATGAGGGTCAGAGAATCTCCCACGGCAACAAGGTCATTCTGAACCATGATGATCCAGACCACTGCAGAATATGGTAACGCTGCATCACAACACTCATCATTTTGCAGCACTCGATTCTTTGCACGGTTCTAGGTGTTTAACGTTTCTTTTCTTTCAGTCACTGTGACAACAACACCCTCAGCTGCGAAGTTTGCACCTCCCTCACCACGTTTACGACTCCCACACCAACACCAACCTACGGCGCCTTCACAACCCTGCCCTTCACCACGTTAATGCCCGAGGGCACGTGTGACCGCGCCATGGATCTGGCATTCCTATTGGATGGTTCTGAAGCCCTTAGCGAAGATGAATTTCAGGCGACCAAAGAGTTCATACTGGGAGTGGTGGAACGTTTTCGCATGGGCTCGGCTCACACTCGAGCGACAGTGCTGCTTTACCACTCTGGAGTGAAAACTTATGACCTGCAGGTAGATACTGAATATTGTCCATGCAATGAAGTGTAAATTTGTTTACATTTACACTATGAAGTGTAGAATAATGTGTCATTGGATCCTGTAGCTCAGGAATAACCTTTTCCTGGTTTAAATAAACAGTAATGGTTTCCTCATCATCCTGTTTCTCTTTCCATCACATTTGCCTGCAGGTTCAGAAATGGCTCTTTAAGAAGACTGTGCGTGAGCTGCATTACACGGGAGGAGATTCCTCCTTCTTGGATGAGGCTCTCAAGTATCTGGTAATCAACATCTATGATAAGAACAAGCGTGAGCATGCTGGCCGTGTTGCGATCATCTTGACTGCTAGCGCTAACCCTCGGTCCATGCGTGGCATTATCAAGACGCTTCGACGAAAAGCCATCACCACCCTGACAGTGGCGCTGGGTCCTGGGGTAAACATGGGGCAGATCAATGACATCACAAAGGCCAACCCAGATAACAGGGCCTACGTGCTGAGCAGCACCGCTGAGCTGCCTGATCGTCTGTTTGAGCTGCAAGATTATCTCTGCACCTTGGGGTTGGAGCCTGAGGTGCCGAAACCTCCAGCGACAAAGTCCACTCCGGGTAAAGCTCACAAAAGCACGACCACCACTACCCTGACTCCTGGTCTGCAGCCAAACCCCACACAACACCTCCACAAGACCTCTCCTTCCACCACACCCGTTAGCCTATCTCCAATCACCACATCGCCATATCCCATTTCTCCTGTCCATGATGTCACGTTTATAGTGGAGGGCTCCGATTCAGTTGGAGAAGGCAACTTTAACAAATCGCTCCTCTTCCTGATGGAAGTTATTTCACAGCTGACGGAAAAGGAGGAGTTTGTTCGCATCACTGTGATCCAATACTCAGTAACAGTCACTGTGGAGATCAGTCGGTGGGAAGTGCGGCAACGGAAGTCCCTGCTGCTGCAACGACTGAGGGAGATTCGTTGGAGGGGTGGAGACAAGACGAACACAGGCGCAGCCATCTCCACCGTTTTCCAGGACATTGCTAGCACCAAGCCGCCGCGTGGCCCCACCCCTCCTCAGCTTGTATTCCTAGTGACAGAAAACCCCCCCACTGACACAGTGACACGTCCTCCATCCACCAACACTCACACAAAAGTGTATCCCATTGGGGTTGGACCAAAATTGCAAGAGATCGACTTGTCGCATTTGAGCTCCCCTGAACGTCCGATAATTGTTAGTGACTCCAACAGTCTGACGACCCTGGTTCACCGAGTAGTCAACATCATTCACACCACAGTGGGGCCCCAGTCTCCTACACTGGTACCACTGGTCCGCCCAACACTCTCCAGCCTGCCACCCTCAGGTATGGAAGACAGACATGTTGATCATTCAGTCAACACGCTCCTGAGCTACTGTTCATTTGTGAATATGTGTTTGCACAGTGCCGTGTAAGAAGCCTGTGGATGTGATGTTCCTGCTGAAGGCTGGAAACCAGTTTGAGGACATGAAGACGTTTGTCAAAGCTTTCATCAAGGATGCTGACATAGGTAGGCTCCACCCAGAACCTGAAAGTACTACTACATTTTACTGTATGATTTTTTTCTCATTATATTGTTTTCTATGGTTGTTATATTGCAACATTAATCTAAAAATCTCAGAATGTTTATGAATTGAGGCCCTAATACTCTGTTCTATCCATAAGGTACATACAGTATATACTGCTACGATCTTCCTCCCCGGCATTGATCCAGCGGTTTAATACTTTGTTTGTGAGTGCAGGGCTGAATGGCACTCAGGTGAGTGTGGTTCAGTATGGAGACACCAACACGGCAGAGCTCACCTGGAAGGATGAACGGAGCAAATCCCACCTCCTGAACCGGGTTGAGAGCATTCGAAGCAGGACTACCGCTGCCTCCGCACTCGGTAGTGCATACACACAAACGCACATTAAAGCAGACATCAATTCACACGTAGTTTAACTGCTCACTCGTAATATCTGCAGGGTCTGCGCTGCAGTTTGCCGTGCGGATGTCCATCTCACCAAGCAATGGTGGAAGAGTGGGCGTCCCCAAGGCCGTGGTGATGCTGGTGACGGACAAATCAAGTGATGATGTCAAAGAGGCAGCTAATGAAGCACTGGCGGCAGGTAAGTAAGCCACCATTAAAAAAATTAACTTTGGACACCTCAGTTCAGAATGCAGTCCCTCACTCTCCTCTGTCAGAGTTCACAGAGACAAGTGTCATCCCTCAGGTGTGTCGGTGTTCCCCATCGGAGTGGGACTAAGCTATGACATGAGTGAGCTCAGCATGCTCGGGCGCGATGGCAACGAAGACAATACTCTGCATTTGAAAAGCATGGATCAGTTGCTGATGTTGCTGACGCTGGACCATGGTTACACAGAGAGGATCTGCAGAGGTGCTTCCACAGAAACACATACATTTAGATTTTCTTCTTTAAAGGCGAGAAATAATTCAGCAGGCTACACTTTGTGCAACCGATACACATCCCACCCCTTCATATTGGCCCTCTTGTCAATGCTACGCCCCAAAACAAATGAACGTGTCGTCTCTGCTTCAGCGGTGTATGTCTCCTCAGCTGAAGGCTTTGGTCTTGTGCAGTAAGCAGACACACACCTATATCAGTCCCCTGAATATGCTGGAAACTTTCTCTGCAAAATCATCAATGTTAAAGAAAGTGATAAAGAATAAACCTGAATCCTCCTCCCCTTTTTCCAGATTAGCACCAAAAATTATTTGGTTCTTTCTTGGCCCGTGTGCAAAGAAAGAACCCTTCCACCAGGTTTCAGGGAAATCTGTCCAGTAGTTTTTTGCATCTTCCTGCTGACAAACAGACAGGGGTGAATCCGTAACCTCGATTGATGGCATGACTAGAGATGTTCTGTGCTTTGTCTCACAGCTGGTCCACCGGGAGTGTGTGTGGATGATAGTGGAATTGAGAGAAAGGTGAGTAATGTGTGTTCAGTTTGAAAACCACTTACATCACTGCAGCAACCTTCAACAGTCATCAGAGCATCTGGATCTCTGTTCGCGTGTTTCAGCCTGGTGAGTCGTGGGTGCTGGAGGACGGCTGCCACTCTCTTCTGTGCCATCCCAGTGGGGCGGTGACCCTGCAGAATCACAAAGTCAGCTGTGACCGGTTGGAGCCACCGGCCTGCAGAAACAACATAACACCCGTCAAAGTCCAGGAGGCCTGCGGCTGCCACTGGGAGTGCCCCTGTATGTGCATCATGGATCAGATTTTAAGTTTCTTGCATCACATTTAACTCTTCTACTGCATTTCGAGTGCACATTAGCCACTTAAGCTGTTAGGTATGAATGCTGGAGGATCAAACTTTGTCCTCACTACTGTGCAAAACACTCTCTTGCTCCTGCCTGGTGTGTGTTGACAGGCATGTGTATGGGCAGCTCCACCAATCACGTGGTGAGGTTTGACGGCGTGGCACTCAGGCTGCACGGGGAGGGCTTGTGCTCCTACACACTTCTCACTGTCAGCAGAAGCATTGGCGAGGGGTCAGAGGTCAAACTCCACAGCGGACCTTGTCAGGACACAGGGAATTACAACCAGGTCTGCATGAAAGCAGTGGAAGTGATTCACGGAACACATAAGCTGCTGCTGAAGGATGATATGACGGTATGTGTGTGTGTGTGTTGCTGGGTTGGATACCTGGAGTCATACTAAATATATGTTTCTGTTACTATAAAAGTTTACCTGTGTGTGTTTGTCTTGGAGCAGGCAGTGATTGGCCAGGAGGAGCTTGCACTGCCGTGGCGTTATGGTGGTCTGGAAGTGGTGTGTTACGGCGGAGTGATGCTGGAACTGAAATCAGATCACGGTTATGTCTTGGCTTTCACGCCTCAGAACAACGAGTTCACCATCACGCTGCAGAGTTCCTCCACCAACGGCCACACTGCTGGACTCTGCGGTAACAGGAACAACACCCAATCATACGTCCCCATTGTTTCTGATTCTCTGATTTGCTTCTATAACAACTGCAACACTGTCTCTTTCCTCCAGGTGCCTGTGGGGAGGAACAGGCGAGCGTCCTCTCTTTACGTAGCGGCAGTTCAACGACCAACCAGTTGGACTTCATCTCAGACTGGACCGTGGCTACAGACGGCAGCATGTGTCTGCCTAAGCAGAGACTAGACAAGTGTGCTCCTGCTGCAGCAATGGGATGTCAGGCCCTGCGCTCAGAGGTGTTTGGGCCGTGCCACGAGCACGTTCCCGTTCAGGTGTTCCTTGCCAACTGTGAGGAGCAGGCATGTGAGGAGTCAGATGTGTGTGAGCTCATCACGCACTATGCTCGCCTCTGCAGACAGAGGGGCGTGTGTGTGGACTGGAGGAGACATCACCTCTGCCGTGAGTCTCTTTTTTTTTGATGCACTGAGGTGTAAATGTTCAGTTCACGCTCGACAGTGGACACAGATAAAAGAAAACCCTGTCTGAAAATGAATCTAAACTTTTCCCTGTTTTATGTTGCAGCATACCCGTGCCCCAGATCCACGGAATATAATGCATGCCTGACAGGTTGTGTGGAAACATGTGACAACATACAGACATTGCGTGGTGACTGGGCAGTTGCCAGGGGTAACGCGTCATCCTGTATGGACACGCCTACTGAAGGCTGTTTCTGTACTGGAGGGACGGTTATGCATCATGGACATTGTGTATCACCAGAGGCGTGCAGGCAGTGTGTCGACCCCCAGGGACGCACATATTCGGTGAGACACATGAGAAGACAAGAAAAATATGACTGAATGTGTGAGGGAATAATGCAAACGTCTTAATGACACAAAAACACATGCTAATAAATTATAACAGAGAAAAAAATAGTGTTCACTATTAGAGTGTGCTGTGAGCGCCCCCTGGTGTCTAATGTAACCAAATACGGCAATAAAAAGGAACATGGTTTGATTTTGTTTTTACAGTATATGCAGAGTTGGGTACCAGAGGAGAACCCATGTTTGATTTGCATGTGTTTGAACCAACAACACATCAACTGCACTGCCCGGCCCTGCAATGACGTCAGACGTAATCACCCATCCTCTTATTATTTTCACTCGTTGTGTCTGTTTTTGTGGTTTTTCAAGGCCTGAATTATTTGCTTTGTGTGTAGCTCCAGTGTGTGGACCCTGTGAGACCCTGAAGGAGAAGAGAGGTTCCAAGTGCTGCCCAGAGTATGAGTGTGGTAAGAGGATAAAACTATATATCATATTATTATTATTATAGTTATTGCAATGCTTCTATTTGCACATCTGGTATCAGCCCCATTGTGTTGGCAGTTTCTGATGAACAAAGGTTTAAGTCATTGCTGGTCTTTCTGAGATTGAATTCGGCCCCTGAAGGGAATATATTGGCACACTTTTATCATCTTCATGTAGAGAGAAAAAAATCTAAAAGTCATGATACTGTATAAGCAGTTTTCTATGCTCTGTTTTCATCATGCACATTCACAAAATACTTTTTCACTCTGACTTTTCAGTGTGTGATCGGGTGAAGTGTGACCTGCCTGAAGTTCCCCGCTGTGAGGATGGGCAGACTGTGGTTCTGATAAACCCCGGGGAATGTCAGCCCAATCATAAATGCGGTAGGCTGTCAACTAATTCTCCGTGATACTGACTCTGAAAAACACATCCATGTCAACTCTCTGAGATGTGATGCTTCAAATCTCTTTTCTGTCTCAGTCTGCAAAAAGGATGAGTGCCCTCTCCGAGCTCCCCCGACTTGTCCCTCACATCGCCTGCTCTCAGTGAAAAAGACAACGTGCTGCGATGTGTTCGAATGTGCGTGCAAGTGCCAGAACTCCACCCACACCTGCCCCCCTGGGTTCATTACATCCTCCTCAACCAACGACTGTGGCTGCACAGAGACCAGCTGCCTGCCTGACAAGGTGAGCAGTGTGTGTGTGTGTGTGTTCAACTTTCAGTGAATTCGTATCCATTTCTGTGCTGTTGCTGTTTAAAACGGTCCTGTTGTTGTGTTGTGTGTCAGGTGTGTGTGGTCGGTGGGGTGATTCACCCAGTGGGCAGTGAATGGGAGGAGGGATGTGAGAAGTGCAGTTGCACCCAGCTGCAGGACAAAGACACATCTCTGCACATTGCTCAGTGTACTCCACCTGTCTGCGATCGGACATGCCCTTGGGTAAGACACACACAGACACACACTAAACGAGGCTGCATTATGCTTCTAGCTCCCATTAATTATCACATATTTGTCATACATTCAAGGGCTCAACCTACACTTCATCAGGAGGAGAGTGCTGTGGGAAGTGTTCACCAACCAGCTGTGTGGAGTCAGAGAGAGAGATGCGAGGAGACACACTGATCGGGGGAAGACTCAGAAGTGTATGTGTACAGATGAATTGTACTTATTATATAAGTAATATACGCATATACATTATAATTTCCTGTTAGTGTTGAAGGCAGTCATTGTAATACCTTACATGACAAAACTCATTAAAATAACACTTAATACAAGTTATGGCACCTCGCTCGTAATGGCTTTGGGTGTAGATTATAGGAAAAAAAGCTTAACATGTATTTATTTTATTGTTGATTTTAATCTTACCTGTGTCGGTTTATAGGTGGGTGAGGTGTGGCAGTCCCCACATGATAAATGTGTGCAACATCAGTGTGTGAAAGTGAAAGACGACGTGTTTGTCTCCGCAACCAACATCAGCTGCTCCGCCATGGACACGCCGTCCTGCCCACTGGGAACCGAGTTACACTGCGACACCCAGGACTGTTGCCCCCGCTGCCACTGTGGTAAACACACATGCATAATCTGGTACAGCACGCTGGCTATATGAGTCAGGGGTTGCAGTTACAGTGTCCATCCAGCTGGAGGCTCTCTCACCTTGGTTTATCTATGACCCTGAATCTGACCTTAGGTTTATTTTCCCTTTTTAAAGAATGGCAATAAAGTATTTGTTTCCTTCTACAGCTCCTATGGACGCCTGCGTGCTCAACAAAACTGTGATAGGAGTAAGTCATGCAGAAAGCAGGACCTTCATATTAAAACAGTTTGAATAGTACTTTCAGTCATCTCGATCTGTGTCTGTGCAGGCAGGGGAGAGGCTGATGGTGGATGTATGTACACACTGCGAGTGTATGATAGAGGATGGTGCTATCAAGAAATACAGACTGTCCTGCAAGCGATTCAGCTGTCCCACTTGCCCCCAGGTAACCATTATTCCCTCATTATTCTTTTTTTATTATCCCCATTATTGTTTATTATCATGATAACTAACCAACAAACTCAAATGTCCATTATTTTCATCAACTATTCTCTAATCCTCTCATCAAATCTCCTCCCTCCTCATCCTTAAATTGTGACCGCATCATTTTCTGTGAGTCACTCTATCCACAGAGGTAAATCCAGCCACGTTTATATCTTTGTATTCACTGTAATGTCATTCAGATGTCTTCAAATATTACATAACATGCGGTATCAACCACAACACTTTCAGGGATACACTCTGCAGAAGGAGGAGGATGCTTGCTGTGGCCGCTGTGTTCCCACCGCCTGCATCCTGCAAAGCCCAAATGGAAAAATGA